CAGATCTCAGTCTAATCTCTTTTATTTCTCTCCAAGGTTTGCCATAATCATCCCTTCAGGTGCATAATCTACAGCCTCCATTCCTTATTACAGGCAATCTTCCACCAATGAAAACTAAATGAATTTCATCCAAATGAAAGCTTTATTTTTAGCTTTGCTGGCAGTATGGCTCTAGGGAAGGTGATTGTTGAGTGGTTTAGCACTTCCAGTCAACAATTAAAGGATGCTGAAAGACTGCATTCTGGTCATCACATGTACTTTGAGGTAATTGTAAACAGAGCATGTGAGCATGCAAATTCTAGTATGCCAGCATGATTAGCCTACACTGAATAACTGCAAACAGGCATGCTTACATGCTGCCTACCATTTGCTAAGCCTAAGTAGCCAAAGTATTAGCAAAGGTTTTGCAAAGTCTGGCACAATGAATAGATGCTTTTTTTGAGTGTAATCAGCAGTTTCATATTGCACTTCCATTAAGTTGGGGGAGTCACAAGAGGCAGATTTTAAAAAGATTGGTCAACATCTGTGCAGCAGAGGCCAAGATACCTTGACTTTTAGCCCAGAATAAGGCTCAAAATCTAAAAACACTGGATCCTACAATACCCATAATGCAACTCAATCACATCTTTCATTAGACCTTCCTTACCAGTTATTATGCCTCCAGATTATAACGCAGGTTTAATGTCAAATATTTTAAGTCTCAAGTCAAACTCAAGATAACCCTGATGACATCACTGTGACATCATCAGGGTTATATGACTTTAGGAAGCTGCTCCAGAGCTACAGAAGATATTACACAACTGTTTTCACTGGCGCAGTGAGAAGTAGACTTTTATGTCTAAAACTGGTTTACTCTCACACCACCTTAAGGCCAAACTTTACACCTTGTTTCACCCAACTAGTGGTAAGGATCGGAATGGCAAAGTTGTCTCTCCATTTTTCACCGGTCCAGGAATCATCTTTGCTGGTGAGGAACGAGCATTATGGATGGGGCTGCCTATAGACTTTTAGCCTAGTTTAGATTATTTTGTTTTTCCACAAAAATAGATCACACTGTAAAGCTTTTTTTTTTTTCAGTATATGTGTGTCTCTACTACTTCTCTGTCTATAAACATCCAGAAAATTCAAACCACCAACCCACAACAGAGCTGCAGGCAGCAACATCTGGGTTTTCTGAGTCTTAACACGAATATCAGATCTTTAGCTTTCAGGTTACGGCAGGTATGTGCTGATGGCCGATAACGAAAATTAGCAAATTATGAGAATTCAGGAGTGAAATGGTCATTCATCCTGGACTCCTGATGCGCAGTCAGGAGGACCAGCCGTGCGTGTAGCGCTGTTTCTGAACGTCTCCTCCCCTGTTTCTGCAGTGTTACTGCTTTTCCTTCTCGCTCATCGTTTCTTGTGCCAATGCTGCCCACCGCAAGAGTAAGACAAGACTTCCATTTGCATAACACCACACTCCTCTTTCTTGTCTGCCACCATCACTCTGCTTGATATCCATCTTGTCCTGATCCGTGTACTGTGTGGTTTGCGTCCTCTCAATCCTTCACCATTCATTCACGCCTACTCTCATGTGCAGTCCTGTTTGGTTCTTGCGTTATCCAGCTCAGACAGAAAAGCAAGGGAATATTTTTCACTCAGTTAATTTTGCGGATAAAAACAATCTGAAAGCCTTTCATACATTGACAGTTTGGAAGAATTTCTGACTGATAGAAGCGGGACGAATGAGGACAGAGTCAGTAATTTAATTTATTATTTTACGCATCAACAATCGCACGTAGCCTGGAGAGGATAAAGCTGAAAACGCATTGTGGTTTCTGAAAAATTACTTAGCCTTGCGGAAGGTGTCGCCGCGGTGGAACAAGAGGAATTTAATAAGAGGAACTAATCCGACAGTGTCAAGTTTGCTGAGGTAGGGTACCTGTCAGAAAAAAAAAACATAGCGAAGAAGCACCGTGGAAAGCTACGCGTCATTTCCAAGACACCAGCGCAACAAGCCAACACCATTACACCAGCCTGCTGTGTGAATGGCACACGGGGTGTCTTCTTCTGTTGAACTGGTGCAGGGTAGCCACGCTGTGACCAGGGTCCAGCTGAGATTCAGGGCTTTCTGTGAGTATCTGTGGGACTGCTGTGCGCACCAAATGGACCAGTCTATTTGCCACTAATGCAAGCCTTCTGATGGGATAATCGGCTTTTTCCTGCATCTGTAATGCCCAATAATCTAGTTGCCTCAGAACCCATTTGTAACGTTTTGAATTGTCTCTAGTCTGCAACAGTGGTGTTTTATTTGTGTTTTTACACCACTTGCTGATTTTACTGGCACACATGTCTGGCTTTTAATAAGCTTCTTAAAACTCTCTAATGTGAAATCCTTTCCGGCTATAGTTTTCATGGTGATTATAAAACTCTCTTTATAATTCCTTAATTTAATCTAACCTGTTTTTCTACAGAGCGATATGAAAGATAACTTCATCTCCTGAGGCCACAACTTCCACACTGAGCTGACTCACTGACAACGACACTCAGGTGAGCGTTTCTAGGAAATCATAAAGCATATTCATGCATGAACATCTTGGTTTTTCGCCATTGTGCGGGGCTCTAAAGCCCGTAGCTGCGTTCAAACTAGTATTACATGTTGTAGATTTGATTTAGATTTCTGTTTCTTGACTGTGGTTTTTGTTCAAGGCAAGGTCTCATGGAAGTCATTTTTTCTGCCAACAGTCAGTTTCTGTTTACACATTGTTTCTGCTTCATTTTCCTTTTGTTTGTTCTTTTTATGACTTTTCATTCCCAAGATAGCAGAAATGACATTTATGAGGAGTCTCATTACAAATTAAGACTGTCACCATTTGGGGAAAAAAAACACCTTCTCTCACAAAACGAATGCTGGCATCAAAGTGTGAGTCATTATGTACAAGTGTTTACTGCCAACCTGAGACCTCTGCTTACCAAACAGGAACACGTTTGAGGATTAAATCATGATTCTGTTTGGATCAGAGGTTGTTCTGCTTTTGTTTTTTCAGATTTGGAAAATGTGTGAATTATCTAGTAGTTGACAAAGGTTGTTAATCAAGAAATCAATATTAAATATCAGCAGAGCAGATAATTCTACTTTAGATTCCCAGCAGGGGGTTTGTAGCTTTATAATTTATTGATGTCTTTTGTAAGATTCAAGATTTGCAAATTATCAAACTATTATCAAAGTAATGTGAAAAACCTTTGTGATGACTATAAATCCTGTATTTTCCAGGGAAACAGAGTACCTCTAATAGTTTCTGTACCTCGTTAGCTTGTTGCTACCTGCTGAGGAATGAGTATGGCACCACTGGAACAGATTAAATAATAGAGAAAGGAACATTGTTTAT